TTATACATGTTCATATGCTTATTCCACATTCCTATATCCAACACATCATCAATCCATCATCAATTCAAATTTTAAACTAATTTATTTCACACCAACACGTGCTCACAATTTCTATGACACAAACCATCAAAATAACATCATGGAAACAAAGGTTTCTTACCACTAATCAACTTCCCAAAGCCTAGAAAGCAACCTCCAAGCCAAGCTCCATCAAAAACTCACTTTTTCCACCTTGGATGAATAGTGCACGAAAATGGGGTGATGAATATCTCCCTCCACAAACGAAATCAGCTCAAATGGAGGGGTGAAATGGCTTCCTTAGGTGATTTCCTATGGAATTGGTATAATGGGTCAATGATTTAGTGTAGGATTTATGGAGAAATCAAGAAATGAAACAAAGCAAACCCTATCCCTTCCCATGGCTGATCCTCGGGCAGAAGAGAGAGAAGAGAGCAGTTTTTTTAGATGTGAATAGTGATTTTTGTAAGCCACTTATGTTTTATAAATACTTGTGGCTTTATCGGATGTTTTTCTATCGCGTATTTTTACTTGAATTGACCCGGAACCAACTTAAAGCTACTGACATATTTTTATTTTTCTAAAATCATTTACATTACTTTTTAATTCTTACAAAACAATATTCATAATTCACAGTATGATTTTTGCACCATTTTTGACGAAATGCACTGTGAATCACTAATTGTACTTCATTTACTTATGAAACTTAAAACTTATAAACTTATCATTTTCTTGGGCCTATATTGACTTGCTTGGCATATATTGGACTTTCTTATTCTTATTTCATCAATTATTTATTTCTGGACTCTACCGGTTGCTTAAACAGCAGTACAAAATACCTGGTAGAAACACTATTCACGAGATTTTCACGGAAAGTGCCAGACTATACAATTTTTCATTCTGAACTCATTTTTGTCGTCAGAATTATCAAATTATGTCTCTAAAATTATTTTGCTCTTTTAAGATCTACCAGTTAATTCACAAAACTGTAAATTATCCGACAGAACGCACTGTTCATAACATAGTCATGATTACAGTCAAAATACTCGGAATCACTCACTGAATCTAATTATGGCATTTAAATCCTTAAATTAAATCTCTAATTAAGATTTACCATTTAGGGTCATTATATCTTGCATTGGACAACATGGAAGAGAAAGAGAGAAAACAGTTGGAAAGTGGAAGACACACACGTGAAAGTGAGAGGGTGTAAAAGCAGGACAGAAAGAAAAAAAAAACGAGAAAATTCGAACCACTAATTAGAGAATGAAAAGGAAGTTGAATAGAGGAAAAGAAAGGTTAAAAAGGGGGAAAATTGAGCTGGAAATGAATCATTCTCTTCTGCTACCACAAGCTTCAATTTTCTACACCTTATGGGGCACTTTTCTTGGTTATGTTATTCTTGACTTCTCGTTTCTTCGACTTAGGAATTGTAATATGATTTTGTCAATAAAGTTTTTCTTTAGTTTCTGTCGTTTCCCTACTTCAAATTCAGACATGCTCCACAACATGTGCTAAGTTTTTTATAGTTAGAGAGCACAAGTACATTTTATGGTTTTAATATTTTGTTCAAGTACTCTTTAGTAATAGATTATGGTTTTGAATCTGATTTTAATTTGTTGAGATGACTGACCTCATTTAGCTATCTTAAGGATTGACTCATGGAAATGAGCGATTGCTGGACCAGAATTGAACCATATGTTATGGTACTAGCATTTAGCTTTTACTCAAAAGTTGCTCTAAAAATAAGGGACAACATTGAACAAGTAGTTGCACTTTAATTCGCTCATGTAGTTTTATCTTAAGAGAGGAATCTGTGAGGTAGAACTCTAAAGAGAAAAATTTCTACGAGAGGAAAATGTGCTAAGCCTAAGCAAACTTGAGTAACAATTTGTTACTGTTTTTAAGGTGCTTGGTTAGCTCATTGATTCTGAAGTGGGGGGATTTACGCTCCATTAAATTTTCTTTATCTCATTCCACTTCACTTTAATTTTGTTTAATTAAGTTCATTTGTTTTAGTGCTTGTCGGAAAGAAAAACTCAAAAACATTTAATATTCTGCAATTTAACTTTGATGCACTGTGTTCTTAATATTTTGCTCCAAGTTTCTGATACAAATTCTCTTTGGACTCTTTCATAATGCCATTTTCCATATTTCTTAAGCAACAACTTCTAAAATGCTGATTTCTAGACTTTCTCTGTGGAAACGATAATCTAGAATACTAATATTTTTTGAATTATTTGATGCGTGAACTTATATCTGAGAGCTCAATAATTGCTTCATAATTACCTCCTATTAATTGTTGAATTTGCTTCACAAATCCTTAATATGGCTGAGGGTTGCATAATTCATTTTATATTAATGAGGGGAGACCTAAATAACATTTTGAGCCTTTTCACTAGCAGGGAAATCCATTTACCTTTCTCAATGTATTTCTTCAAATACCTTACAAAGCCAAGACTCAAAAAAATATTTATCAATCAACATTTTGGAGCTAAAAATAGAAACAAGAATGATGGTTCTCATTCTAAATGGATATCTCCTGGAATGATGGAGCTAATATATTTTGCCACATATTCCCTTTATGCCTAAAGATACTTAATCAAATAGGAGCAAAATTTGAAATAGACAAAGTTTCTAAACAAAATTTGTGTTTCAACTAAAGCATAGATCTCGAGAAAATCCAACTAAAAAAAGAAGAAAAAAATATACTAACCTATTTGGGAACAGAGAAATTAATGAAAAACAAGTAAGAAATCAAAAGCATAAAGATGATTTATACAAAAAAATCGAACATGAAGGTGATGCTCTCTTTGAAGGGTGTATATGTACTAGAGAAGATGTTGGCAAGATCAGCGAGTATGGTGTGGAGATCAACAAGGACGAGAGTCCACCATTGCCTTTCCTGTTTCCAAGGAGATGTCACCATTGACAAACCGTGGAGAGAGAAAGTAATGTCGGTAATGTCCTGTATTGTCTTTTGTCTTCAAGAAATTCATGCCAAAGCATAATACTCAAATTGTGTAACAATTAGGAATTTGTGATACGAGGGTTTCATAAAAACTCAAGTCGTGCAAAATACTCGAGTACCACATCATGTATTTGATGAGTATATAATGCAAAAAAAATCATATGAGAAAAATACTCGAGTATTCCACTAGTGTATCCGAGTATACACTATTTTGCAAAGAATACTCAAGTATCAAGATGCAATACTCGAATACATAACTTGATCAATAGTTAATATCGGGCATAGTGATAACTTTAATATAACAGGGGACATAATGATCAAAAAACCCAATAAATATCACCATCGTCTGTTCAGGAAACTTAAACTAAACGGTGCCCAAAAAAACTATATGAAATGAGCTTTATTAACTTTCTTTTTTTCAAAAATAAAATAAAACAAACTTAGTGTTTTAGTTGGCGGGAACTAATTTCCATGGCATGATAGTTCCTCTAAATCAAATGTGAACTCAATGTCCATATATCTAAAATGTTTGATTGATTTGTGAAACAATTGTGGAATAAACTAGCACAATCCATCTAATTTATTATTCGGTTTATTGTGTGTCATTTAAAAGGATATTGTCTTCTTTTAGTGACTTACACAAAGTATGACTGGTTATACTCTGTATAATTATGAAAAGTTACTTTTTTTCACTTTATATGTCAACGGTATGACTGAAGAACGAGAATTTTTTTTTTTTTTTCAGATTTACACAAAGTATGACCGGTCATACTTTGTGTAAATTATCTAAAAAGATACAACTTGTGTCGATACTTCTTTTTCCTTTATTATTATAATTATACTAAATCAGATTTAAAGATTATGGACACATAAAATTATTTTTTAATTGGTCAAATTGGAGAGGAGAAATTCAACGAATGAATCCGAAAGGATACATGTGAGGGGCATTTAGAAATTTCTACAGCTTTTGAAAGAAAACGTTTGGCTGTCACAGCTCACAGCGCTACAGACAATCACTTCTCTGCCCCACTTTTGGCGTTTTCCTTCGTTCCCATCCTCACTCGCTTCCCTCTCTCACTCTCATCCAACTCACCGTCGTGGTTTCTTACTTTACGTGGTTCCTATATTCTTTTTTTTTCTTTTTTTTTCTTTTTTAATGATGTGGTTCCTATATTCGTCATTACAAAAGAGTTGCTGTTTTTTTCGCGTAATTATTACATTTTTTATATCAGCTGTTCAATGTAAATAAATTATGAACAATATTTTTAGGCTTCTTATTCTTACAATAATATAAGAATAAGCTACCCTTATTCTTTACCATCACAAGGTTTATTTTGCTTATTAAGGATTTGGAATTAATCGTACCTACATATGCATTTTAAAAATGAATAATTTATTATAATTACCAAAAGAATATTATTTAGATAATTTCCTTGAATACATGATAATGCTATAGAAAGTGATGAGTTTTTCTTTTATTATATGCATGTCACTCTAAATTTATAACAGCATTGGAAGTCGTTTTGAAGATGTGCTCTCCCATAATATAGGTTTGACTCGTTGATTTTTTTTTTTTTTTAATCAATCCCAATTTAGTTTGTGAACAGAAAGCCTTGAAGAAAAAACAGTTTCCTATAAATTGACATTAAATAAAGGTCCTTTAAATAGTAAATAGTAAAACAGAAAAATAAAGAAAATTTTGGGGGAAAAAAAAATATATCATTCATTGAAATGCTCTTATCGCGAGTACCGTAGATTAAAATACTCGAGCGCGTAACAAAGCACTGGACCGAATATTTCGATTGATGCACGATTGTACGTGGACCGGATATTTCCACAGATGCCACATTCACACTGGATAAGCCACGAGCTCGCCACACGCCGGTACTGCGAAGAGATCACAGCCCTCCACTTGTTATTTGATCCGACGGTCCACAAGGAAATCAAGTCCATTTTGAATTCCCGAAATACCCCTCGTCACCACTACTTATATCACATTTGTCCCTCCCCACTTCCTCACCCTTCAGAGTCGCCATTGATATCTTCTTGATCTTCTCTTCGTTTCTCTTCATCCCAATCCATTTTCGAATACCCATTTCGAGATTCTTCCCAAATGGCCCTTTCTTCTTACAAAGTTTCAACCTTTTCTCTCTCACCCATTGTTGGTGATGTTCCAAGAAAGCTCATTTCTCCAAACCCTTCTTCTTCTTCTATGAGCTTTGTTCTCTCTTCTTCTTCTTCCCCTTTTTCTCTGAGCCTTTCCAAAACAGGGGGTAACAGGAACTTCAGGGTATTTGCTGCAAATGCACCCGCACCACTCACTGGGGTGATATTTGAACCCTTTGTTGAGGTCAAGAAGGATGCTCTTGCTGTTCCAGTAACACCTAATGTTTCCTTGGCTCGTCAGAACTATGCAGATGAGGCAGAAGCTGCAATCAATGAACAGATAAAGTAAGAAATTCTGTGATTCTTGTTATCTTTTTTTTCCCCCCATTTAATGAGTATTTGTTGGGTTCAATACAAGGCATGAGCAGAGGATCTTTGTTTTGTTTTGTTTTGTTTTTTTTCTTGGTTGAGATTTGTAAAGAACTAAAGATCCGCTTTTACTCTTAGAATCAGAATAATGAATTAATTGTAGTTCTTTTTATGTATTTTATTTTGTTTTTGTTTTTTTAAGCATCAGTGAACAGAACACCTCCCCCTATTTTATTATTTTCATGTCATTCATTGCTTTATTTATATATGTATATATCTTATGCTAATATATTATGTTCTTATGTGAATACAGTGTGGAATACAACGTTTCCTATGTGTACCACTCCTTGTTTGCATACTTCGACAGGGACAATATAGCTCTCAAGGGACTTGCCAAGTAACTAACTAACACAAAACGCATATATGCAATCCTCCCTTTTGTTGTTTCATACATTTCTCGAATGGGTTTTCAATTTGGTGTGCTGTTTTGTTGAAAAACAGGTTCTTTAAGGAATCAAGTGAAGAAGAAAGAGAGCATGCTGAAAAGCTTATGACATATCAGGTTGGTGTTGAACTTTATACTCCCCTTTTGGCTCCTCCTCAACAAGCTAAACCTTTTACTATCTCTTTTTCAAAGATTACTTTCTTGAAAGCATATTAAATTATTAGTTATCTCTCTGGCACACTTTTTAGAGATGTGAAACCAATCATATGATCCTTAACATAATAGCTTTTGGTTTTGGGACAATGGTCATTAACTTGGTATCATAAAACCAATCATGATTCTTTATCTAAAATCCCAATAGCTTAAATTTTGATGTATATAATGACTTCTATGACTCTTGATTTGTTTAGAACATTCGTGGTGGTCGAGTGGTGCTGCACCCTATGACGGGTCCCCCTTCAGAATTTGAGCATGTGGAAAAGGGGGATGCATTGTATGGTGAGTTTTCTGTTTTCATTACTTCAACTTCTATGTTTTCAATTACCTTGATCATTTTTGTTTGCAGTTTGACATAGTAGTATTGTAAAGTTGTGCTGTGCCTTTTGATTTGTCATATTCACATATTCAAAACCATTATCTATGCTGACTTTTTTTTCCTGTTTTCTTTGATTTAGCCATGGAATTAGCTTTGTCTTTGGAGAAGTTGGTAAATGAAAAACTTCTGCATCTTCACAGTGTAATGTCTCTTTGCCTCTAGCTTTGTGTTAAATTGTTTTCTCATGAAATCACACGTTATTTAACCTATAGTTCTAAAGGCTAAATGGCTTTTCACTCTTAAGATTTCTGCTTATTGCTTACTGTGTCCTGTTAAGATAATTTCTTCTGTTTTTCGTGAATAATAGGTGGCAGACCGTAACAACGATCCTCAACTTGCAGATTACATTGAGAGCGAGTTTTTGTATGAGCAGGTATATCTATGGCTAAATTTTGTCCAGTTGAACCCATAGTATGATTAAGATTCATCAAGATTTTGAACTCCTTGATCTAAAATCAGGAAAAGACAATAAATTTAGAAAGGAAATGTATAAAACAAATTTTTTTTACTTGGGGTCTGGAGTATACTAAACTGTTGTTTGTTACATATTGTTTCTTTTTTTACAGGTTAAAGCAATTAAGAAGATATCAGAGTATGTGACTCAACTGAGAATGGTTGGAAAGGGTCACGGTATGCATATATATCCTATATGTCGTTGCATTTCACTTGCTATTTGTCACTAACATTCACATATTAGCATGTGCCTAACTATTACTTTGGTACTCTCTCCTTCCCAATAAGGGGAAAGAGAGAATCCAAAAATAAAACAAGATATTAATTATTGTGTTCTAATAGAATAACTATTTTGTTGCCTGCAGGTGTATGGCACTTTGATCAAAGACTTCTTCATGAGGAAGAACTTGTGTGATTTGGAACAGCCTGCTATCTGCATTTGGTCCTTTATGAAGTTCTGTGTTGTTATGTTAGTAGAATTGGGAATGAGTGTTTCTCCGTGGTAATGAGATGTAGGAACTGTGTGTATTGTTGTTGCTAGGATCATGTGTTCAAGGTTAAGAGCCATTATTAGCTGCAGTTAAATTCTGTTTGTAGCTTGCAATTATTTGCTAGAAATAAAAATGACGTTGGCTCTTTGCGGAACTGTGATGGTTTGAAAATTTTCATACAATGGTGTGAACAAACTACAGAGCACTAGAGGAAAAGGAAAATGTCCCTCTAGGGGCGTTTTTCTCCCAGTATGAAAATTGAAGGGTACCTCACCTCCGTAGACCATAATGATACTATTACGTGAACTTAAATTTGTATCATCATAGTAATGGAAATGATGCTAAAAAAGAAAAAAAGAAAAAATCCAAATGGGATAAAGGAACCAACGAGAAAAGATGCAATGCTCAAGTTTCCGTAACAGCATCAACTTCATGATTTATGCCACTTATTCCCAATCAAATGTACAAAGTTTATGTAGCTTTATGTGCCTCGGAACCCTCTTCTTTTGAAGCAATAGGATAGAAATCCAATGTCTCCACTTCATACATGTAGTCTCGCATGCAGGTATAAAAAATTCATGCAAAAGTAGGGGTTTTCATCGATCGATAAAAATCAATTCAAACCGCGGTGACCGAACTGAAAAATCGATAACCGAATAAATCGAAAATCAAAAAATCGAAAATTGATTAAAAATCGCAAATTTTAATTGGATTGGATCGGTTTTTGGATGGGTTGATGAAAATCGATCCAATCCAAACCAATCCAATATATTAATTTCCCTCTACCTACTTGGGTATTTCCCTAATCATAGCCTAAAAATTTCTAAACCCAAGACTCGTTAACCCATCAACTAAATCCAAGAAAAAATCTAGTCATATCTCATCAACAAAATTTTATCTTTGTAGAGCTTCATATCTCATTGCCAAAATTAAAAAAATTATATTATAGTTTACTAATGCTTTTGTATTTCAAAAAAAAAATTACAAAGCCAATATATACAAAAGATGTTATTTGCATAATAATCATAAATAAATTTTAGGATTTTCAAAAAACCGAAAACCGAAAACCGATCCAATCCAAACCGAAAAAAATTGGATTGGATCGGATCGGATTTGAAAAAAAATCAAAATCGAATGGATGATTATATGATCAAATCGAAGGGATTGGATCAGATGATTTTTGCTTTCAAAACCGATCCAATCCAGACCGCGAACACCCCTATGCAAAAGGAACTTTTTTTTATCCAGAAAAGTAAAAAAATAAATAAGGAAATATAGACCCAAAATATAGACTAATGAGGAAACACAGATACTTGTTTCTGCTTGAGACTAAACAATGGAATCTTGTCATTCACTTTCTCTACTATGGTAACAAGTAAATGATAAGACGGAACAGCGGTAAAAAATAGAAAATTGACAATGTGCTGTATCTAGAGTCTATACACACAATTGCAGTTATGATGCATTGCCAATTTTAACTACTTCTCACTGCTCCTTTCGTTGCCACTCTTATTAAGAACACTTTAAAATACAATTCAAGTTGGCCGAAAACATAGAACTCAATATTTAGACCTATTGTTCCTTTTCATGGTGCAGGCATGTTGAAGAGTGGATGATTGAATTTGAATCATTTTCCACAGAACTTGTATATCTTCATACTCACCACAAGACTCTATATCCTTATAAAGATTAAGAAGCCCATTTCTGTGCCCTGCAGTCAACAACACCACAAAGAAACAAAGGATCAGGAACTCGACCAGAAATAAACCAAGTAACTTCAATCAATCATGTATTCCTTTTAATTAAGCAACCGTTGAGGATGTTTCTGAGCATATAAATTTCACAATTTAGTTAACAATAATCTGAAGCAGCTTGTTACTTTACCTTGGGGTTTGAACCTTAAGTGTGAAGTGAGTTTGCTAAGGATATTCTTCATTGGATAGATAGACAAGCGCTTGAAGTACCAACAGCTCTTCCACTTTCCCATTTTTCAAATCAGATAGCCTTTCTTCTCTTCCTTGCAGCCTCCATGTTTTATATAGCATCATGCTCTTTAAACAAAACCACAGGTGAATCCTGCCAGAGCAGAAAGTAACAAAGAATAAGACCCATTGATAAAATATTGGCCCCTCCTACAGTGCATAAAATATAAAAGAATTTTTCTTCCTAATCCTAACCCAAAAACCCCGTTTGACCCATTGATAAAATAAAAGATGAATTATATATGTTACGCTGAAGTTTTCACTCATCAGGCAAGCTCGTAATTTGGAACCGGTGCAAACACATGATAGTATTATATATACATTTTACACTAGCTCAAGTACATTCTAAAGTTTAATGGTTGATTTCACTTACATTTTATCATTTTAATTTATTAATTATGCGAGTCGTTGGATACAAGTGGATCAACCATTAAGATTAGAGATAAAACTTTTTATTCTTATAGCAATGTAAGAATAAAAATTCTTAGACATAGTATTGGTCATTGATCTACTCGTATCCAATAACTCACATAACTCCAAAATAAAATTGTTAAATGTAAATGAGATCAACGGTCAAGATTGAGAGTGCAACTTATACTAGTATAAAATAATTCTCACTTATATATATATATATATATATATATATATATATATATATATATATATATATGAGCTTATCATTTCTCAAGCTGCCAGAGATATAGTTATCTCCGGCTATTAAATCATAACCATACAAAGATGGATCAATGGTGATAAAGGAAGAGAGAGAAAAGTGGAATCATAATCATTCAAAGGTGAATCAATTCATATAAGAAAATAAATAATTAAAACGACATAGTTTTGGGGTGGCCGAAAATAAATTTATCTCAAGCAGCTTGAGAAATATTTTTCCATATATATATATATATATTTGGCAATATTGTTTGTCATGTAACTGGATATAATGTTTTGTCCAGTCACTCCCTTATAACTATGTACTCCAAGAAATATATAATTATAATATTAATTTTTTTTTCTCTCTTTAGAAAATTGTCGGCTGATTAGAAAGAGAAAAAAAAAAATTTTAATATTATAAATATGTGCTTCTTGAAATAGATATAAGAGATGATTGAACAAAATCTTATTTTCAGTGTCTGGACATCCGATTACACACACACACAGATATGTGTGTGTGTGTGTGTGAGAGGCAGTAACTTCTTATACCTATGTAAGAATAATAATCTTAACGGTTAATTTTTATACATCTGATGATTGTAATTTATTGATAATTAATAATTAATAAGTGTAGCTCAATAAATTATAATTGTATGATGCACATAGGGGTTAACATTTCTTTAATCATTTGAGATAAACTTATTTCAAGCTATCCCTTTTAACTATGTACTACGGATAGTACATAATTATAACGTTAAAGTTATTTTTTTCTCTCCTTCGTCACTTTTCAGAACTTGTCTACTGTCATGAAGAGAAAGAAAAAAATAACTTTAACATTATAACTACGTACTATCCGTAGTACATAGTTAAAAGGAATGACTTGAAATAAGCTTATCTTAAGTAGTTGGAGAATATTTTTTCCACACACAGAAATATATATATATATATATATATATATATATATATATATATATATATATATATATATATATATATATATATATGGATAGGTTATATTTACAAATTTTTTATTTACAAACTCTTACAAATTATACTATGTACTGTAAGTAATACTTGCTATGTAATACCTATAAGATATAGCGTAATTTATAAGAGTTTAAAAACAAAAAATTTATAAATATAACCCTATTTATATATATAATATTAGGTAGTGATTGGATTTTCACAATGCAATGTTACAGTAAATAAATAGTGAGTAAGGGGAATTGATTTGGATTTTGCTACTCTCTTACTTACCCTCTTACCAAATATTCTCAATTTGATGCTATCTACACAGAGAGTGGCGATGGTCCCTTGGTCAAGCGGCTGGTTGGTTTATCTTCGGAGCCTTTATGTTAGCGAATTGCACTTTCTCTATATTGCAATAAAGATTAATTATGGTATGTAAAGAAAGTTGACATACACAGTGATAATATTAAAAACAGAAGATGCTTGTTTGGCACAATTGAATTGGGTAAAGCGTTATCAATATTGAAAGTAGCCGTTGGATTCTGTTGCAATCACTATTATGTTAACATAATCGTTTAGGTCAATGCAATTAAAAACAGACGGACTGCATGTGCTTGTGCACCATTTTTTGTGGTTTTCTCAACTGCTTACTTTCCCTGATTCTTCATCTCATTTTTTTTTTGACAACTGTCAACTGCTTATAAATTTTTTGTAATAAGCACAAGTTATACACAATATGTTCACATAATTCAGCAATGATCGTCTCCCTGTTAAAATAAATTATGGAGACATTCTCAAATAAATAAAACTGATGGGGTTGTTGGAGTTACTAACTTAACACTTGGAAGGCATATAAATACATCTTTTGTTTTTTAATATGAGATTGCAGAAATCGAAGTTAACTTCTCGTTTAGTATTGTATTTTTTTTTAATTTTTATTTTGTAAATTAAATTAAACAGTATGTTATGTATAAAAAAAAAACAGTATGTTAATGTGTTAAAAAAAAAGTATTTAATATGTTAGAGCATTAATTTTAGATAAAATATTTTAATTGAACATGATATTTTGACACCAGTTTAGTTTGACACCAGATCATAATAGTAGATTTCAGTCAATCGACGGTTATAATTTATTAAAAATTACTAATTAATTAATAAGTGTGACTTAATAAATTATAATCATTAGCTTTTAGTTTGTCAAACTTTTTAGTTTGATATCAAATCCTAACAGTTGATTTCCATCACTCAACGATTATAATTAATTGAAAATTATTACTCAATTAATAATTGTGACTCAATAAACTATAACTGTCAGATTGGTGAAAGTTAGATTTGATATCAAATTTTTTTAGTTTGACGGTGTAAAAGGATTCTGCCATATATATATATATATATATATATATGTATATATATAGAGGTAGGATCATTTGACATCAATGTCAAATTTGAAGTTTGACACTTCATCTGAGAGCAGTTGGATAAAAAAAAATCAATGCTATCATATGCTTACAAATCAGAGTCGTTGATCTTTTTTTATCTAATCCTACCTCATATATATATATATATATATATATATATATATATATATATATATCTCGAGAGAGAAGAGAGAGAACTATTTGACACCGGTAACCGTTAATTTCCGTCAATCGACGGTTATAATTTATTGAGAATTACTAATTAATTAATAAGTGTGGCCAAATAAATTATAAGCGTCAGATTGACGGAGATCAAATGTTGGGACTTAGTGTCAAACTTTTTACTAATTATATGGCACAATTGATGGGAAAATAATTGTTAATCTAAGTTCACGGTTATTTTGTTAGTATAGACTTGATTTTATTTTAAAAACAAAGAACAAAAATATTGATTTAAATAAAGTTGAGTTACAGTAAGAAAATGTTTTGGTAGAATGGAACCTCAAATATGTTGTTGTTTAATATAAAAACAATTAGTTATGTACATATACTTGCCACTGCACATTGCAATATTGCATTAAAATATAATAACTCGAATATAATAAAAAATGATATCACTTGTATTTATTGTGCTTATGGTCATTTGTGTTGTGACAGTAAACATTGTGATGATTCGCTTTCAGTTACTTTGACTTAGCAAGAAAATCGAAGATATACTTATATCATTTATGAGTTGTAATTCATTGATACAATAATTTATCTTATGACAATATTAACTGTTTTGATTTTTAAAATTTTGGGGCCAATGTAGGTCCGCTCCTAATGGTATGCATATATATCCTACTCGGCTGGCCCATTCAATTTATCATTGCATTTCACTTGTTATTTGCCCACTAACAATATTTATATTAGCATGTGCCTAACTTGCCGAACTAACAAAAGACTTGAATAATTGATCTTTCAATTTTCTAATCATACCGGCATCTTATTCCACGATCAACATATCATCAACATAAAGCAGAATAATAATGAATTTATCACCAAAAAACTTGTTAAAGTACACACAAGGATCAACATGAGTTCTTTCCCCTTCTTGGGAAGGAGAAAGAGAGAATCCAAAAGTAAAACAAAATTATCGGGTTCTAATGAAATAATTTTGTTGCTTACGGGTGTCTGGTACTTCGATCAAAGACTTCTTGATGAGGAAGATCATGTGTCATTTGGAAGAGCCTGCTATCTACATTTGATCCTTTATGAAGTTCTGTGTTGTTATATGTTAGTAGAATAGTGAATTAATGAGATATGGGAACTGCATGTATTGTCATTGCTAGGATCATGTGTTCGAGGTTGAGAGCCATTATTATGTGCAATCAACATCTGTTTGTAGCTTGCAATTATATGCTAGAAATAAAAATGACGTTGGCTCTTTGGGGCGAGTAGAACTGTGTGATGGTTAGATAATTTTCATAAATGGTGTCAACAAACTACAGAGCACTTGGGAAAAAGGAAAATTCCTTAGGTCCCATTCGTAGAGCACTTGGGAAAAAGGAAAATTCCTTAGGTCCCATTCGTAGCAGGATTTTTTTTGTTTTCCTGTGATTCTTTGGTTGGGTAAATAAGAATGCATCGTTTGGTACAAGATTTTAAAACTTTTCCGGGATTTTATTTTGTGTGTAATTTTTTTTTGAAAAAACCATCCAAGAATACCATCCAGAATGTGGTATTTTAATATTTCTATGGCAAGGGAAAATTTATTACAACTAAACACAACATCAACAAAATTAACCCAATATTCCTGGGAATATGTTAGTCTACCAAACAACTTTTTGGTAACATTCCCAGAAAACTCATTTTTTCATCATTTTCCTGAAAATCGTGATACTCGGATAAAATAAAAAATCTCCTGTACCAAACGCTCCGTTAAGAGGCATTTTTATCCCCGAATGAAGTATTTCCACTTCTCCATTTTTCAAATCAGACAGCCTTTCTTCTCTTCATTGCAGCCTCCATGAGTCCATGTTTTATATAGCATCATACTCCCTATGAGGTGTTTGGTAGAGAATTTTTTTTTTATCCGCGAATCACGATTTTCAAGAATATGATGAGAAAATAAATTTTCTAATAATGTTATCAAAAAGTTGTTTGGTAGACTAACATATTCTCGGGAATATTGGGTTAATCATCTTGATGCTATGTTTAGTTGTATTAAATTTTTCCTTGCCATAGAAATTCTAAAATACCACCTCCTAGATGATATTCCTGGATGACTTTTTTAAAAAAATTTACACACAAAATAAAATCCCGAGAAAATCAGATTCCCGAAAATTTTTTAAAAATCTTGTACCAAACGTGGATAAATAAGATTAGCACTTTCAGTTTCTCGAAAATCCTAAAAAAATTCTTGTACCAAACGTCCCCTTAAACAAATCTTACACAAAATCACAGGTGAATCCTGCTAGAAGTAGCGCAGCAATAGTGGCCATTATGCGATATATCAAGTCCGTTTGATTGAGCTTTTTTTTCTTTCTAGAAGCTGTTTTATTTTTTCTAAAAAAAAATCATTTCTCATTTAAGTTTGGATGTCAACTTCAAAAAAAATAGATGTCACAAAAAAAAGTTAAAAATCAGCTTTTTTTAGAAACTAAAAATTTTATCTTCTAAAAAAAAGTCAAAAATCAAATATTTTTTTTCAAAAACTAAATATTTTTATAAAAATATAAATAACTTTAACTTTTATAAAAAAAAATTAAAATAAAAAAAAGATAAAAATCATTTTTTTCTAGAAGTGCAAACAAACAGGTTCCTTGTGCAATAGCTAGCGCTTTTATACATTTTTTTACTAAATTTGAAAACAATAATATAATTTACTTTTACCATTTTATCCATTATTTTATGATTATTCTTTTCTAAGTTCCATCTTTACCTTGAAGATGTGCTTACATATTTACCCTCCATTTAAAAATACAACAGTAATATTTTTTAGGGTTTTTTTTGTCTTTTGACCTTAAAGTATCTGAACTCCTTCCCCTTCGACGAAACTCCATTTTCCATCGCTCACAGAATATTCGGCTCTTTCAATTTGGAATAGAAGGGAAGAAGGTTAGTCTAATTTCCCTTTTGTTCTGTTCTGTTCACTTTCATATTCATCAGCTATGCTGAAACGTGTGATCTTGTGTTTTGATCAGTATAATTTTTAAAATACGTGCTGTTTTGAACTGCTTGTTGATGGTTGTAAAAGTTAGTACTTGCTTGAAATCTGGGTTATGCGAGATCTGTTTCTCTTAATTTTTCAAATTTTGAAGACAAATTTTATTGAAATGTTAAGATATTCAGTTCGAGGTTTAAACTTGGTATGCAGTTCTTTTGCCATTCATTATGTCATAGTTTTATATTTAGTCATTTATTTAGGAAAAGGGTTTGTTAAGGAAAACACACATGCAATGATACAATTGGACTTGGTCATAAACTCAGTTTTCTGGTTACTTGGACTAGTATCTCATTAGGATTGTTATCTCTTTTGAAATGCACTGAATTGTCAAGTTATGATCTTCTCGCCGGGTTAAACTATAGTAGGATTTCATTTCAGTTTACTGGTTAATGCATAACTCTATCATCGCTATAATTGCTAAAGGAATAGAAATCTATATTGTTAAATGAAATACAAGTGACCGGATTAGTCTCCTATATACGTTGGTGAGATTTGGATAACCAAAAAGAAAGAAAGAAAGAACAAAATGCAGGAGGGGGGGAGGGAAGGTCCTTAAAGGATCCTAAAAGATGTGGCAAATGGCTTTACTAATTACTCTCCACAACACTATGCATCTATATCTGCATTGTTTTCAAACAATGAACACAATGTTTCTTTGATTGAAGTTGTCCCCCAATCTAGAAAAAGAAATAAATTAGACTTCTTCTTTTGAATGAGTATAGCAAACTTTAACTGATCAGCTTTTTATTCATGCTTGCTAGAACATTCTTTCCTATTTTAAGTTTATTCATGTTTTTTAATAAACTCTTTCCGGTTTTTTTTTTTGGTTTGAAAAAAGATAAGGGAGAGAGGAGAGTACCCCATTACACAGCCTGGGGATACCACAAGCCTTAGCAAGGGCTTTGTCTTACAATGGTGCTTACAGATCACTTACTAATTTGAGATTGCAGTAAAGGCCTGAAGGGTTGAAAAAACAGCTCATCCTGAAATTGTATTTTTGCATGAAAATTCACTTGGCATGAAAAGTATGCACTTGAAAAGTGTTGAGATATATAGTCCCACATTGGTTATATGGGCAACTAATGTGGAGTTTATAAGACCTTGGGCACTCCCACCGTTTGAGCTAGCTTTTGGGGTAGTGTATCCCAAGGTTCTTTACATGGTATCAGAGCACAATATCAAATTAAGAGAATTCTATGATATTATTGATGGCTTCACTTAGTTGAAGTTGTATTGTCTATGGAATAAGTTATGTCTGATTTGTAGTATGGAAGAGTGTGGCGTTTCTCTAATATTTTCTTCTTTTCTTCAGTTAAGGATGGTGAAGTAGAAGAGTGTCTCACAGACATAAGAGGAGCATTAATATTCAATTTCCTTTCAGCCATCTTCTTCCAAAGTTGAACAACTGTTCTATATATTTACAGAGATGATTTTCCAGAGATGAAATTGATTCTTGTCGGCATATTCTATTATTGGATTGGTCTTTAGCAAGTTTTAAAACAAAGTGCTCATTTACTCCTCAACTTCCTTACAGGTATGGAAAACTAGAAATGGAGTATCTTTTTTATTCTGTTCAATAGTGTAATTTATTCTTTAATTGCATTTGAATCGTTGAAGATCTTAGAAAATGTTTGTTTGTTGTCTGTATGCAGTACAATTAAAAAGAAATATTTTTTGTATCCAAAAAAAATAAATATATATTTTTAGCTTACCAAAAAAATAAAAAAAGAATTTTTTTAAAAGTGAAATTAAGTCAGAATTTCGATTAATGACAAATGATTAATCCATACGGGTTTTTGATTATTATTTGAACTTTTATGTTTGCAAGAACTGATATTTATATGATTAATTGATTTTTGGCCCCCCTAACCCATGGGGCTATATATATATATATATATATATATCATAAGGTAGGATCTTAACGATCCATGTCGACCACGATTTACAATCCTTTCAACCCCTTTTGATTTTGGGGGATCTCGAGTTTGCAATCTCCTTTTTCAAGTGCTCGATCAAACTTTTTTTTGCTTCATTCTAAAGGGTTAGGGTTTGTGGCTTGATGTGTTGATTGCCTTGGCATTTGTACAAGAAATCCTTTTAACCTGTACATCATGTAAGTGCAGTTTTTAGAATCTGGTATGGTACTGTTGATCAAACTTTGGTTTGCTTCATTCTAAAGGGTTAGGGTTTGTGGGCTTGATGTGTTGATTGCCTTGGCATTTGTACAAGAAATCCTTGTAACCTGTACATCATGTAGGTGCAGTTTTTAGAATCTGGTATGGTACTGTTCTGTTTTGAGCATATAAGCTTCAGGCCATGGTTTTTTGCATTTTCTTGATGCCTTAGTTCTTTGAAAGACAAAGGGTAATATCAACATGGGTTATGGTGAAAGTTGCTTAGTGTTCTGTTCCGTCCAAAATAGTTTGCCTTGCTTAATGGTTTCGCTGGAGTCTTAGCAGTAGAAAGAAATGAAATCCCATGCCAATTGCCAACTACCGAGCGTGTGATCCTTTAAATTTTTAATCTAATGATCCAAAGATCAAGGGATTAAAGAGATTTCAGGTAAATTTTGTTGGTGATTTCATTTCTCATCCAACTGTCAGATTCATTACAAATTGCAATGACTAGATACATAAAGTACTAAAATGAAAAAGGAGAGAAGTCTTTTTTTTTTGCTTCTCAAAATTGAGCTTTAAAATTGCATAAACACACAGAGAGAGATTGCTGTAGAGGATTTTGGTCTTTCTTAATTATGTATTTGTTTTATGAGATATTGTAAATTTTATTTCCTGTGATATCAGTTTCAGGTCCAGATCTTGGTATGTTATGTAGGTAGACTGAAAAATGGAGGCATTGAAAGCATGTTATGGGGATGGATCTTCTGATTCAGATTCGGAATCTGCCCCTTCAACTCCAGCCTTAGCTTACTCAGAAGGATTAACACCCTTGCCACCACCTCCTATCTCACTGCTCGATCCTTCAAATTTTTTTGGTATGCTAGTTTTTTTGCTTATTTTTGTGACTATTAGAATTCAAGAAACAACCTCTTTGCAAATATGTAAGGGTAAGGCTAATTACAAATATTGCCCTCATCCCTACCCTCGCTAGTCGGGATATAGTGGGGAGTTGTTTTTTTATTTTTTTTTAGCTTATTTTATTTGCTCATTACAGAGAGGACAAAAGAGAATGAAAATATGTTCTTCTTAGGTTTAGATGATCCATTAGAAAATTATAAGAATCACAAATTGCACCAACCTCAAAATCTAAGTTGATGGTATAATTTTTCTGAATTCATAAACATATATTTCTTATATTGGAAGCTTCATTGCAATCAAAAGAATATTCAGTTTTTATTTATATGTGCATATGTTACTTGCCTTTGAATGACAAATGTTCATTGTTTTGATGGTGAAGGGTCTCAAGATCTGCAGATAGGACAGACAACTAGAATTAGGAGTTTCCCTCATGTTGATGGTGACTATGCCTTACATGTATACATACCAAGTAAGTTAATTATGATTTGCAAAGAAAGTTGTCTTAGTCTGAACATACTGTTCTATGTTTTTCATACAGTGGTTATGCTGCTGCAGATATTTGATTGAATTTTCCGTGTATTCATTAGTCTATGCCCATGATAATGCCATGCATTTAGATTTACCTGGCAGCTGGCTGATCTGTATACCTGCATGTATATGAGTTAAGAAACTAACCATCATAATTGTCTTAATAATATGCAGAAGACTATTGTATTATGTGTCACCCCCCCCCCCCCCCCCCCCCTCTCTCTTTCTTTTTTTCTTTTATAGGGAGATGAATGTATAATTATAATTTATAAGCTGGTGCTGGTAATATCAAGTTGGGTTGCAATTGTTCTTGGACAGAATGTGTTTTAGCTCACGTGGTGTGTGGATGACACCCCGCCCTCCCTTTTTTTATTTTTTATTTTTAAAACAACCAAAGAAGAGAAGAATTTGGTTGTGTAAGGATGTTCTCTACCATAAAACCCTGCCTAGAGAACAAGTCTACTTCTGATACACCTGATGGATACCCGTAGAAAGATGATTTCAAACATGGAAAAAGATGATTTGCACAGGCCCTCTGGATGTTTAGAAGGGCATATGCCCGTCAAAGAAGAAACAGTTGATGCATCTACAACGGAGGGAAAGCAAGATGCATGTAGCCTGTTGTTTCAAAGCACACGGGTCATGATGTATTTTCATTTACTGGAGCGTTAGGACTGAGACTAAAGGGGTATCTGCTCATAGTCATAGCTACGTGAAAACACCTACACACTATTTATTACCCATAACAAAGTACCTTCCTCAGTTAAGGAATAACTGGTCTAGAGTCTACTACTCATTGGTGCTGGCAATACCTATGTATGGAAGTTTCCTCCATTGAACATAGAAAATTCAGTTGGATGGACTGGATCACCGACGGGATCTAGAAATATAAAATGTGATATTCTTAAAATTGAAAGGTTAAGATTCACATGTGATGAATTTGTTAATAAATTCTTACTCTAACCCATAAAAATAATTTAAAGTTATTGATTTAAAAGGTTTTTCCCCTTCAAACTCTTATGTCATGTTCAACCGCTGCTTGCAAGGCTATTTAACATTTGTTGTCTTACTTGTACTTCTATGAATTTTTCATATCACTTTAATAGACTTCAAAATGCTATTCAATATGTTCAAAAGTTTTTCGTGCTACATTATATAAGGTGCAGTGACTTTGGACTCACACTGCAATTGTTTCTTTGCAGTTGATATTTCATCTCCATCAAAGAAAGACCTAGCAGCTTTCTTGAAGAAAATCTCATCTCGGGAACCAAGTCTTTATGTTGTCGATGTTGATCTCCCACTTAATCTCCTCTGCAAAAATGATGAGAAGCTTGAACAAGTTGCCTTAGGAAGAGAATTTCACATAAGTTTGGGAAGAACGGTTCCAATACGAGTACATCAGATTGACTCAATGGTCTCAATGCTAAGACAGAAGCTTCAAAATCAACACCGGTCAGTTTTTGTTTTTGTATTGTTCAATTATGAAAAATGGAACAGCATGTATTAACTTGTTTGCCTCATTGTTGCCTTTAACTTCTCTTGCTTTGGAGTAGTTATTGGATCGACTTTAACAAGTGGGAGGTTTTTGTTAATGATGATTACACACGCACCTTTCTCTCAGTAGAAGTTGTTCAAGGAGGGTTAGTAGAGGTATCATTCCTGGCCATTTCTTTTCCATTTATCTATTCCCCTATGTTTCATAAGTCATATTCAAGTTGGAATTGTATGTTGCATTGGTGGCTTAATGTGTCTTGTTAGTGGCTCAATCATAGTAGTCAAGCCGCGCCAGTTGCGCTTCGCGGAGCTTCGCCGCAACCATTCTCGCCGCGCCGCACCAGATCGCAATAGCGGTCGTTGCAGCCGCATTTGCGGCCAAATCTCGCTGCAACAGTGCCTTTTTATGGTTTTAACCCTAACCCACTCTCCCTTTCTGTCTCTCTGTTGTGTGTCTCTCTGTTGTGTGTCTCTCTTCTGCCTCTCATGCTCTCTTTATCGCGCTCGTTTCTTCCCTTCTCTACTTCTCTCTTATAGTATTGAAGTTCAATGTGAAAGCCATGAACGAAGAAGCAAAGCTTTGAGTGAGAGACAGAGTGAGAGACAGAAAGAGCAGATAACGGAGAAAAGGAGAAAAAGTGAAAAAAATAGTAATAGAGAGAGAGAGAACAGATGAAGGAGAAAAAGAGAAACTGTGAGAGAGAGAGAACGGATGAAGGAGAAAAAGAGAAACTGTGAGAGAGAGAGAGAACGGATGAAAGAGAGAGTGAGAGAAAGTGAGAAAGAAAGAGATTCTGATCTATCTACATTCAAAGAAAAGAAAAGTACATTTGTCAGAAAAGTGATTCACAAGTCACGGTAACCAAGTAACGTGGTTACAGTAAGAGAGGGTAAAACTATTTCTGTATCCCAAAAAAAAAAAAAAGAATGCATCATTAAAAGGTAACTAAGGTAAAACAGTAAAGTATTATTTGTATTTTTTTAGGTTTTATTATTTTTTTAATAATTTATTATGTTACACAAACATATATATATATATATATAATTTGTTTTTTTAATATATATATATAGAGGTAGGATCCTTTGACACCGGTGTCAAATTTCAAATTTGACACCTCATCTTATAGCCGTTAGATCAAAAAATATCAATGGAGTCACATGCTTACAAATCAGAGTCGTTGATATTTTTTGATCTAACGGCTATAAGATGAAATTTGACACCGGTGTCAAAGGCTCCCTCATATATATATATATATATATATATATATATATATATATATATATATATATATATATATATATATATATATATATATATATTTTCTGCTATTTTTGCAATCGCAACCCGCAATCCGCATTTGATAACTATGGGCTCAATATTTTTATTTTGTTTCTTCTCTATAAAGCTGCTGATGTAAAATATTTTCTGTGGTAAATTCTGGGATAATAGAAATCTGTTTATTGGTAATAGAACTATGGGAAGTTTGGAAAAGTTGTGTTTGGAAGCCGAATGTCGATGTTTATGCAATGTTTATTTTATTTGTCATTCATCATTAGAGTGCAATGACAAAACTTAAATAAATCAAGGTTGAAATGTAAATTTTCCAAAGCTTCATACATGATATACTTTAATAAGTCTGCTGTTGAGGCCTTGAGGGGCATCGTTTTTCTTTCTTTTTGGTCTTGCATGGAAACTGGCACAGAATAGGAACTGACTACAGATGAGACGAGAATTTCTGAAAAACATAGTTAGGATCATGTTCTTGAAAGTTTTTAATAGCGTAAGAGCAAGTGATACCGGAAGGCTTGTAGTGTGTTAGTCTGTTGCTGAGTTGTTCAGAGTTTGTTAGATTCTGTTTAAAGTGTAAAGATTAGGCAGTTCTAGAATCTTCTATGTTAAGCTTAATCTCTGTACACTATTTATTTCAGTTCTCCCTTTAGAACTGATAACTGTTGTAATCAGAAACACAATCTTTCAGAAATGTCACACCTTCCCCTTTTCTCTTTTCTCTTAACTTTCTTCTCTGAGTTTTATCTTTATTCTTTCTTTCAATGTAATGGGTGCACCCTTGTACTAACTTCTCCTTGTTCAATCTAGCAAATTCATTCTCTTTATTTGGTTGCCATATGTATGAAATGCATTTGCTTTTCAATTAATTTCAGATAACAAAGCAAATTGAAGCGGTCAATGTAGTTTACAAGCTTCATAATCTTCCTGAATTTTACAAGGTCAGTTTTATTACTGCTGGTTCACAACCTAGACATAGCAAACAAACGAAACTACACTTTGTTGATCACCGTATGACTAAACTATTTCCAAATGAAATAAATGTCTGCAAAGTAGGTGAGGTTTTCAGGGACAAAAAATGTTGTCGAAAGCATTACTTTTATTATCATTGATGTCCTCTGTCCTTCTTCTAGTACTTTAACTTGAAGCACTCTTTACAGGATCCACGTCCTCACATATCTATAGCATGGGCAATGGGCGATATCACCCACTCCTTGAAGAAAAATGTTGATGAGGAAATGAAGAAGTTTATTGGGAAATCATCAAAGAAATGCATTTTTAACTGTAAATTCAAAGGTATTGAGTGTAAGATTGGCAAGAAAATATATACAATATGTAAAATTTCTGATGGACAATAATATAAATATAGTTTAAAAAGTATAGGGAAAAAAAAGTATGGGATTTCCTGTAGTATTTCTGGCTGGATAGTGTTTTATGTTGTGAAATGGTGGGCTTTTTTGACTTAGTGACAGATCGATGATAAATAAATTAATTGTAAGATGTGAAGAGTTTTAAGTTTTAGACTCGTACCATGTACTATTTGAATATTTGTTCATTGTGCTTGGGAGAATTTACATTAAATTGATTAAATATACGGTGAGAATGTGGGGGAACTCAATTTTGAGTGCCACATGCAGTGTAATCATAATGGAGGAGGGTGTTAACGGGCCGGGCCGAGCTTTGGTCTTAAAAGGTTAAACTCGTGTTTAAATGTTTTAGCCTGATCAAGACTGTTATCTATTATGAATATAATTATTGGCTCGTGGTCTGATTTATTTACAAAAAATGAAAATATGATTTAGCCTATTAGCTTGTTTATAAAAAATAAGACAACAAAAATTTATCCAAACAGAATGTACAATCAACAACATTAGTAATTTAATAAATATTCATAAATTCAAGGTATATCCAAACAGCATAATATAGAATAAAATCATTCAAAAAGTTTGTTTAACTAATAAAATAGGGTGAAATGGATTGAGGAGAGAGAGAGAGGCTATTACAATTACTATAAAAAATATAAAATAAAATAAAAATTAATATACTAGGCCAGCCTGAGGGGTTCTAAAGCCGTGCTTTTGGATTAAAGTCTGAGGCTTTTTTACTAAACGAGTTTTTATACAAGTTCAAGTCTGATTCCAACAATCAATTTTAGGCATATAACTCAGGTCTTTACTAGCCGAGTCAAAGGCTCCTGCTTCGTTTATCACCTCTAGTTACAACGGTTCAACATTTGCATTTTTCTAAAATCTTGAAATTACTTAAACTTCACCTTAATTGTTAAAATTAAAATGGTATTATTATTATTATTATTATTTAACATAAACTCAACGAATAAGAAGCACACAACTGGCAATATAGTGGGTCCCACACAGTGGCGGACCCAGGAAAATTAATTCATGTCCGCACATTTAATGAGGGGGTTCGGGGGCAGCGCCCCCGAATTTTTTTTTTGATATAACTTTCATATGGAGGAGTTGACTTATCAATGCAGGAAAAATATATAAAGTTAATAACAATTCTAGGCAGATACTACCTATCTCTTCAGTTATTAAATGTTACCAGTGAAGCAAGTATGGCAGTGAAGCTATATCCAATGATTGGTGAGTTGAGCGATTGAAGTGTGCAAACCCAGAAAATCAAGTTATCCTATCTCTTCAGTTACTTCCTGAAAAACAGTATTCTGCCATAAGAATTACTTACATTTAATCTCAACACAAAAAAAGGTATTTAACATAAAAGAAAAGATGAAGAGTTAACTAAGCTATTAAAATAGAATGATCACAAAAGCATTCTTCGATTCTTCATTGCTTGAAAATATTGCATTATATCTTCATCATCAATCTTATCAAATATATCACGTTCAACATAAGTTAGCATGCATCCGTTAAACCAATCATCACTTATCCGATTGCGCAGCTTATCCTTAACAAAAGTCATTGCAGAAAAAACTCGCTCAACACTAGCAGTTGCTACTGGTAGAAGGAGTGCCAACTTTATCAATAAATAGACCAATGGATAAACAATATCTTTTCCCTTCTCAACCATCTTCAAAGCAAGTTCAGAAATTCTTTTCAAATTGACAAAATCAGAATCAGCTCTTACATCAACAATAAAATTACTCAGACTTGAAGAAAGAAAAGGAATATCTGCAAGCTCATCAAACTCCAAAGGATAAAATCTAGCAAACTCAATCAACTTTTCTTTGTTAAAAGTAGCAAATGAATCACGAGGATCAAGACAACTCAAACACTCAAGCAACTTGGTATTGACATTATCAAATCGATCATCCAACTCTTGAACTTGAGTATCTATAACTCTATTAAATAACTCCACCTTAAAGTAGTGCAAGAATGTGAATGATTCCAATCTCCGTCTTGATCTCCCTTTAGGACAATAAACATCTTCCATATTTGGAATGTCAATATCATATTTTTTGGCAAATATGTTCGTTTCTTGAAGCAATTCATCAAAACCATTATCTCTCACCTCTTGTAAGCGAGACTTGACTACCTTTACTAAACCAATTGCATTTAAAAGGTCTTGATCTTTTCTTTGTAGTGCTTGTGACAACTCATAAGAAATTCCCAAGATAAGTTTCATAAGATGCAACAAGAATGCAAACTCAAAATCCTCCATGGCATACAAAATGCAACCCGCATCAGTTCTTGCAGCATCATTCTTAGGCTCGTCTTCAATAATTTTCATCAAGGAAATTATTGGAGAAAATAATGAGATAACACTTGTAACTGTACCAAAATGGGAACCCCAACGAGTGTCTCCAGGTCGCTTTAAGGTTGTCTCTTGATTCAAACCTTTTCCAGTTAGTATTTCACCGCGAGCAATTCTTTCAACTATTTGCTCATATTGATTCATTAGAAGAATTTCTTTCCGCTTGCATGAACCCCCCACAACGGTAGCCATCTTTTGAAGCATGTCAAAAAATTCTTGAATCTTCTTATAATGTTTTGCAACCTTCACAAGTGCCAATTGTAACTGATGAGCAAAACAATGAATGTAGAATGCAGATTTGTTGTCTGCCAAAATCAAACTCTTAAGCCCTTTGAATTCACCCCGCATATTACTAGCACCATCATAGCCTTGACCGCGACATTTAGACAAACTTAAACCGAGTTTAGAAAACAACCCATCAATCGCATGTTTTAGTGATTGTGCAGTAGTATCTGAAACATGAATTATGCCAATAAAACATTCAACAATGGACCCCTTTTTGTTTACATACCGAAGTACAACTGTCATTTGTTCTTTAATTGCAACATCACGGGCTTCATCAACTAGCAAGGAAAAGTAATCATCGTCAAGGTAACTAATTATTGCTTTAACAGTCAAATCAGCACAAGCTTGAGCAAGATCTTTCTGAATTTTTGGTGAAGTCATTTTGTGATTATCGGGAGCATTTTGCAAAACCACATGACTCATCTCCTCATTTGGCTTAGTATAAAACTTTAGAGTTTCAAGAAATAAACCTTGTTGATTTGAACTTTCAGATTCATCATGTCCCCGAAAAGGCTGACCATTTCGTAGTAAGTATCTAGCACAATCTAAAGAAGCTTTCAGCCGAATACGATAATCAATTCTTTGTTGTTCAGAAATATTTGAAAATGCAATATCAATATGTTGCTTTTGCTTCATCAAATCTTGACAAGCTTGATAACATCTATTGTGAACACTCATATGACCTCCAACATGAACTTTGATTCTATCCTTCTTCTGCCAATTTTTGAACCCCACACCGACAAATGCTTCCTTCGTCGAACCACTACCTCCAACCTCCATATCAAATAGATAACAATACAAGCAAAAACATGCATCTCGTGATACACTATACTCCAACCAAGAACCAAATTCTTCATACCACTTAGGATTGAATCTACGCATTTTTCCAAACATTTTCGTTTGAGGAAATGGTTTAAGAATTGGTTGAGTTGGACCCTTGAGCAAATAAGCTCTCCGAATATCCTCTCTCTCTATAGGATTTGATGTCGTTGAACAAATTGAAGGTCTTTTTCCCGGATCCGCTTCAAGATTCTCTATATTAACTTTTGCTTGAGGTGGTGATTGAAAACTTTGAAATTGAGATGCTTGTGGTGGTACACTTTGTCTTTGAGATTGATGAGAATTTTCCACAATTGAAACATTTTGTCTCTGAGGTTCATTGGATTCAGGTTCTGTATTTGTGCATCTTTGACGTTTGAAATAAGATTGTATCCCTGACAAATCCAAAAGTAAATATAAATTACACCGTCTGTTGTTATTAAAACAATTATAACTTTGTAAATAAATATAGAAAGTTACCTTTCATTAAGACTTGTCGAATTATTATGAACCCACAATTGCAATACATGGAAAAGCATTTCCCAATTTGCAAATTAAATCCATTCTTACAATCAATTATTGCACTTGCTAGCCAAAAATTCAAAACCAAAAGAATATCTGTAAAAAAAAATAATGTTACAATCATTGCAAGAGGAAAAGCAAAAGAACTAACTAAGCATACTTCATGGATACAAGAAATTAGTATTCTCATCTTTTATTCCATACAAAAATACAGTCAAGGTTCCATACAGAAAAAAATTATGATATGGAGAAATAAATACCAAACCACTGAACAATAAAAAAATTTAAGATGCTAGTAGAGTGAATTTATTCCTTACAAAGTGATATCTACTCACTAGGTAAAATATCATGAGTTATGTGATATGGTATATAAAAAAAAAATTACACACACACAATTCTAAGTGTGTGCTTTCAACTAAATGAAGTTATATTATGTTAAAATAATAAATCAGGTTGAGATCTTAAGAATACATTCTTTCGTGCCCCCAATACATTTATGAAAATTCATTTTCTCATATATTAAACTAAGTTTCAAACTTGAGTAATCGGTAGAGATTCAATCAGCAAGCGGTGGCTCATTATATACATTTATAAAATAAAAAGTACACATAGCCAACAACATAAAACAAGAAGACACCTAAGAACTTTCGTATTACAGCAAGCTGGCGTGAGAGAACGAAGTTTGCAGCTTCCAAATACTTTCATATTACATTTATAATGAATCAAAGTCAAAGCTGTTGATAAATGAAAAAATAAAAAGTTTGCAGCTTTACCAAAATACCATGAGAGAACGAAGAAGAGGCCGGCGCAAGTGGTGGAGCAACCGGTGATGGCGCGGCTATCGTGTGCGGAGAAGAAGACGAGGGTTGCAGCTTTAAGCTTAAACGGTGGGTGTCAACTGAGTGTCCTGCTATGAACCAAGAGACAACAATAAGAACCATCAGAAAGTAAAAAAAAAAAAAAAAAAAATCAAAATATTTATGTCCGCACGTGCGGACATTTGCCCACACGTGGGTCCGCCTCTGGTCCCACACAATAATGTGGGGTTATCAAACTCGGTAGTGATATTGGTAAGTAAGGATGTTAACAGGTCGAGCCGGGCTTTGGTTTTAAAAGGTTAAGTCTGTGGTTAAATGTGTCAGCTTGAATTTGCCCGTTACTTGTTA